CTTGTGGGCCCATGGGCGTCCTCGGAACCCGGAAATCATGTTCCCGGAGAGGCTTCCGGGAACATGATTTCGAACGGGGCCCTCTTGGGCCTCCCTCAGGCCGTCTTGGGGGCCTCCTGGGCCGGCTTCGGGGCCTCTTGGGCCGTCTTGGAAGGTTCCGTGAGCCCCACAGGCCGACCCTTTTGGGCCGTCTTGGGCCCTCTTGGGTCGCTCTTGGGCTGTCTTGGGGCTCCTCGGGGGCGTCTTGGGCACTGCGAAGACGAAGCCAGCGAGTATGCTGAAAATGTACGTTTTACTATGGAAATGGGCCGATGTTTGCCTCTAAAGCCCTCTCGGGGCCCTCTTCGGCCATCTGCAAGCCTTCTCGGGCCCTCTTGAGCCTCGCTGAGGCTGTCTTGTGGGCCTCTTGGGCGTCCTCGGAACCTTGAAATCATGTTTCCAGAGAGCTTCCGGGAACATGATTTCGAACGAGGCCCTCTTGGGCCTCCCTGAGGCCGTCTTGGGGGCCTCCTGGGCCGGCTTTGGGGGGCCTGTTGGGCCGTCTCGGGGGGTTCCGTGAGCCCCACAGGACGACCCTTTTGGGCCGTTTTGGGTCCTCTTGGGTCTCTCTTGGACTGTGTTGGGGCTCCGCGGGGGCGTCTGCAGCACTGTGAAGACGAAGCCAGCGAGTATGCCGAAAACGCACGTTTTACGAAGGAAATGGGCCGATGTTTGCCTCTTGAAGGCCCTCTTGGGGCCCTCACGGGCCCTCTTGGGGCGCTCTTGGGCGTCTTCGGGGCCTCTTCAGGCTTTCTTGACCATCTACGGCCCGCGTGGCCCGTCGTGGGCAATTTGGAAGCCGCCCGGGGCAGTCCGGGGGGGTCTGTGACCCCCCAAAGGTTCGGGGGGGCGGCCATGGGGGATGACGGCACCGATTTTGTCCCCCCCGGCCTATCTATCTATCTATCTATCTATCTATCTATATATATATATACACCTATACGACCACCCTTCGGGTGATAAGGAAGTTCGGGGGGGGGGCAGGAACCAACATCTCACTCGATCGGTCTCACTATCGATCTCACTATCGATCTCATTATCGGTCTCGCTCGATCGATCTCCCTCGATCGATCTCACAATCGATCTCACTCGATATAACTCACAATTGATCTGACTATCGATCTCACAATCGATCTCACAATCGATCTCACATTCGCTATCACATTCGGTCTCACTATCGATCTGACTATCGATATCACAACCGCTCTCACAATCAACGTCATCACCATCATCATCATCATCATCATCATCATCAACAAAAACATCAACATCAACATCATCATCACCAACATCATCATAATCGGGACACCGTCATCATCATCAACACCAACATCATCATCATCACGGTCATCAACATCATCGGGACACCACCATCATCATCATCACCATCATCACAATCATCATCAACATCATCATCATCAGCAGCATCGGGACACGGTCATCGTCATCATCATCATCATCAGCAGCAGCATCATCATCGGGACACCATCATGATCACCATCGTTATCATCATCAACATCATCATCCTCATCATCGGGACACCATCATCATCATCTCATCCTCATCATCGACATCAACATCATCAGCATCATCAACATCATCATCAGCATTATCATCATCGTCATCATCGGGGCACCATCATCATCATTACCAACATCAGCATCAACATCATCATCATCACCATCGGGACGCAATCATCATCAACATCATCATCACCACCATCAGAACATTCATCATCATCGGGACGCCATAATCATCATCAACCTCATCATCATCAACATCATCATCATCGGGACACAATCATAATCATCATCATCAACATCAACATACTCATCATCATCGTGGAACAATGCTCATCTCATCGCCCTGACATCTCCACCCCAACATAATCATCATGATCACCATCATCCTCATCATCGTAACACCATCAGCATCATCATCATCGTCATCATCATCATCGCATCATCATACTCATCATCATCGGGACACCATCATCGTCACCATCATGATCATCAACATAATCATCATGATCACCATCATCCTCATCATCGTAACACCATCAGCATCATCATCATCGTCATCATCCAAAAGCCTCAGCATCCATACATCCATCATCTCGTCATTCATCATCATTATATCATCTCATCATCATCACGCCATCATCGAATCATCCTCATCATCATCATCAACATCAACATCATCATCATCGCCATCATTGTACATCATCATCATCACCATCATCATCATCCCATCATCATCATAATCATTCATCATAATCATACATCGAACATCATCATCCGGGACACCGACGGGAAAAACTGACCTGACCACCGGCGGAACACCGGGCGGAACACCGGGGCCACCGCCGCCAAGAGGGAGTCCCATTTGGTCCGGCCCCCCGGCCGCGCCTCAGCGACATGGGACACCAGCGGGACACCGGCGGGACACCGCGGGGCCCCGCGCCCCCGAGGGGAGTCATTTGGTCCGGCCGCGCCTCAGCGACAGGAGACGTTTTCTCGCCCGCCCGCCACGCATCGCGGAAGCCAAAGGCCACGAGATAGCCTAAAAAAGCTTCGCCTCGCCCGCACGGCACGCACGAACACGAAACCGAAATCGATTTCCCGGTAGGGGGGCTCTCCGTTCCACTTCGATCTCACCCCCTCACCTCCGATATATATTGTTTATAGACCTATACGACCACCCTTCGGGTGATAAGGAGTCTCACTCGATCGGTCTCACTATCGATCTCGCTATCGATCCCACTATCGGTCTCGCTGGATCGATCTCGCCCGATCGATCTCACAATCGATCTCACTCGATCTACTTCATTCGATCGATCTCACAATCGATCTGACGATCGATCTCACAATCGATCTCACTATCGATCTCACAATCGATATCACATTCGGTCTAACTATCGGTACCATTATCGACATCACAATCGATATCACAATCAACGTCATCATCATCATCATCATCATCATCATCATCATCATCATCATCATCATCATCATCATCATCATCATCATCATCATCGGGACACCATCATCATCATCATCGTCAACATCATCGTCATCAACGTCATCAGCATCATCATCAACATCATCGGGACACCATCATCCCCATCACCTCATCACCATCATCATCAACATCACCATATCATCATCAGCATCGGGGCACCATCATCATCACCATCATCATCATCAACATCATCACCATCATTAACATCATCATATCGGGGCACCATCATTATCACCACCCTCACCATCATCATCATCATCATCATCATCATCATCATCATCATCATCATCAACATCGTCAACAACATCATCATCATCATCGGGACACCATCATCATCACCACCATCACCATCATCATCATCAACACCATCACCATCAACATCAATGGAACACCATCATCATCGGGACACCATCATCATCACCATCATCATCATCAACATCATCGGGACACCATCATCATCAACATCAACATTTTCATCACCATCATTGGGCCACCATCGTCAAAATCATCATCATCAACCCATCATCATCCTCATCATCAACGTCATCATCATCAGGGCACCATCATCATCATGAACAGCAACATCATCATCGGGACACCATCATCATCATCATCAACAGCACCACCATAATCCTCATCATCATCATCTGGACACCATCATCATCATCTTCATCATCATCCTCATCATCAAGTCTGATGATCATCAACAACATTATCAAGATCATCAACACGATCATCATCGGGGCACCATCATCATCAGCAGCATCATCATCATTAACATTATCATCATCATCATCATCATCATCGGGGCACCATCATCATCACTACCATCACCATCATCATCATCATCAACATCGACAACAACATCATCATCATCATCATCATCATCGGGACACCATCATCATCATCATCACCACCATCATCATCATCAACATCATCATCATCATCATCATCATCATCATCATCATCATCATCATCATCATCGGGACACCGACGGGACACTGGCGGGACACCGCGTGCCACCGGCCCCCGAGCGGGACACCGGCGGGACACCGCGCGCCACCGCCCGCCCGGTGGAGAATCATTTGGTCCGGCCGCGCCTCAGCCACAGGAGACTTTCCTCTCGCCCGCCCACGCAGCTTCGCCTCGCCCGTACGGCACGCACGAACACGAAACCGAAGTCGATTTCCCGGTACGGGGCTCTCCGTTCCACTTCGATCTCACCCCCCTCACCTCCGATACATCCCCTGGGAAACGTGCTTCGGCCCAGACACAGCACAACAAAATCCAGAACCTGCCTTTAGCCTCTGACGACGATGAGAGCAGACGTCGACGAGAGGGCGCTTGTCTACTGAGCCGGCTCGCGGACACCGCGAGGAGTGCCTGAGGGGCAGCAGCACCTCGAAGATTGCCGGAGAAGAGCTGACCTCATCTCCGGCCTCGTTTAGATTTGCCAAATTACTGGACCCCAGCACCGCACAGGAGGCTAGCGTAGGTCAGTGGCACAACACCGTCGAGGACACACAAGGGGGGGAGACGAAAGAAAGAGGGAAGGAAGAGGGGGGAGAGGGGCGAGAAAAGAACTGCAGAAGCACTAAGATGAGGGATATACCGCGCAGGCACAAATCACATCCCCTGGGAAACGTGCTTCGGCCCAGACACAGCACAACAAAATCCAGAACCTGCCTTTAGCCTCTACGACGATGAGAAAAAAAAAAAAAAAAAAGTAAAAGAAAAAAAAAAAGAAAAGAATAAGAAAGGGCAGACCGTCGACCGAGATGGCGCTTGGTTTTTTTTTTTTTACTGAGCCGGCTCGCGGACACCGCGAGGAGTGCCTGAGGGGCAGCAGAACCCCGAAGATTGCCGGAGAAGAGCTGACCTCATCTCCGGCCTCGTTTAGATTTGCCAGGATTCCCGGCACGCCGAGCGACAGCGAGGGCCTCACTGACCACCTGCAGCAGGCGCTCTGAGAGCTGTGGACGGATGCGCGCCGCCCGCCGCAGGAGAGCGTCTGAGACTCGGGCCAGCGAGCGCACCAAGCTGGCTGCCTTCGTGTAGAAGCGGCAGCTCTCGAGCGACACCCAACGACCCCGCTGCTGGATGTCCTCAATCGAGGACTTGTGCACCAAGGAGTCGTGGCTAGGCCTGGCATGGCGCAGACCATGGGCGACCATCGGGAAGTCCAGGGCCTCGCTCATCTCTCTGTAGAGCCGCTCCAGGCTGCGCAGCGCGAGGGCTCGGAAGAGGGGCTTGTCCGCTGGGAGGTCGCAGACTAGCAGCTCCAGCAAGTCACAAGCCCAGGCCCTGTCGTGGGCCCCGACCACCACGCTGGCATCGAACCGTCTGTTCTTGGCCGGCGGGCCGCCGCGGGGGGCGATCGTCAGAGCCCAGCCCTGCGCGGCGGCCCCACGCCGCGGCCGGCTGACCGCCACGCCCACCAGCGCCAGCCCTTCTGAGGGCCAGAGATAGCAGTCCACGCTGATCCAGGCGTGAGCGGCGGCCATGGCGCACAGGAGCAGGTCGTCGCCAGCGGCCCGGCCGATGAAGTAGTCGATGGCCAAGTAGACCTGCCCCATGCACGGCGGGCCTCGGCAGTGCTCGGGCGAGGAGCGGGCGAACCCCAGCAAAGCGAGCCTCGAGCGAGGCAAAAGGGGGGTCCCGCCGAGGCCACTCGTTGACGAGGGCGACCCCGTGGAAATCGTACCTCGCGACCGCGGCGCGGCCCCCCGCCCGGTGGAGCTTCCCGACGTAGCTCTCGAGGGCGCGGCCCCAAGCGCCCATGCTCTTGGCACTCGGGGCGTCGCGGCCCAGAGAGCGCACCACGTCGGCGCAGGCGGCCTCGTAGCGCTCACGGGCGACGGGGGAGATCTTGAGGAAACCAGGCCGCTCAGCTCCGTGCTGTCGATGGCGCTGTCCGCGCCGTCGATTACGAGTCCCCACCTCGGTGAGCACGGAGGATGCCCAGCCCCTCGCCCAGGTCGGCCCCGCCCCAGGAGCGGCTCGCCCGCCAGCCGAGCGAGGCTCGGCGCGGGAGGGCCGGGAGCGCCACTGCGGCTGCTGGCCTGGCCCTGGACTCGCCGGCCGCGCGCCTGAGCTCGTCCTCCCACGAGGGCGCCGGGAGCTGCTCGTCGGCGCGGCAGAAGGCCCTCTGCGGGGCGGCACCCCCCAGCACCCGGGCCAGAGCACGACAAAGAGCTGGAGGGCACGCCGCGGCATACGAGGTCCTCCAACGCCAACCGACGCCCTCCACAAAGACGGCGCCCTGCAGGATGACATGTCGCAGGCAGCCCGGACAGCGGCGGACGGCGCCGGAGAAGTCGGGGAGGTTGCTGCACAGGCCCGTGGGATTCTTCCAGGCGGCGCCGTAGGCACATGTGGATCTCATGACGCTCGCAGCCCAGACGTCGAAGTTGCTTCCTAAGCGGCTGCCAGTTCCAGAGACCAGAAGACCACGGGTTCTCCAGCACCACGAACACCTTGCGAGCGAAGCACTCCTGGAGAATCCGCACAGTGAATCGGGCACACTCCAGGCCGTCCTTCTCGGCACGGCCTGAAGGCTCTGACCGTCGGGCGGAGCTCCAGCGGGCGCGCGGAGCGCCGAGGGCCACGGCCCAGACGCGGCCGCTCCGGACCCAGCCGACCACCACCTCCGCGACGGCGGGCACGGTGATGTTGAAGCGCCCCCCGCTCGCGACGTCGATCGGCACGGCCACGGCGAGCCCCGAGAGCGCAACCGCCGCGGAGAGCCGCATGCACCCAGCGAAGACCTCCAGGAATACCTTCCCCCGTCGGAGCAGCCCCGGCGGAGCGCGGGGCTCAGGCCTGGGCCCCCGCACCAGTCGGGGCGGCCGCTCCGGCCGAGGGCCCCTGTCGACGGCACCGAACGCCGCCCCCACGGCCGAGAGGTCCTCGGCGCGCGCCACCGCTGCCTCAACCTTCGGCGTCGCGGCCCCGGCCCCAGCCCCGGGGGGGGCGGCGCCGCCCTCGGCGGCAGGCCGCAGGCGGAGGCGGCCTTCGCCCAGGCCCTCCGCGCCTCGGCCACGGCGAACCTCGCCCGGCCGAAGGCGCGGCAGCCGCGAGGCGTATAGTCGCTGGGGTTGCGCTCTGTCTCGATGTGTCGGCGGGCCCAGCGGACGTTCGCAGCTGCCTGCAGAGCGGCGGCCCTCCGCGCGAGGGCCAGCAGCTCCCAGGGGCGGGCCTGCCCGCGGCCCATGGCCAGGACCTCGGACATGTTGTTCCCAAGCGAGAGCAGCACGCGAGAGTGGTTGGCAGGGTCCTTGCAGAAATCCTCGAGGCCCATGAGAGCTGCTCGGGCCTCGAGGTTGTGGATCTTGTCAGGCTTCCCCCAGGCGCCCACCGCCGCGGCCCGCCAGCGGCCAGGTGCACCCCAGCTCGGCTCCAGCCGGGGCACGCGGCCGACGACCTCGACGAGGTGCGGCTCGACCACGGCGAGGGCGGCGGGACCCGACGTCGGCGGGTCGGCCAGGAGGTGGTCCTGAGCGCATGCTGCGAAGGCGCCGGTGAGCACCGCGCCCACGGCGCCAGGCGCCAATGCGCCTCGCAGTTCATCTCGTCGATCATCAGGTGGTGGTGACGGGTCCGCCTCCTTGAACCTCCACCTCTCATGGCACTGGGCAGCGGCCCAGGCCTCGCGCGGGTCAGTGTCCGTGACGTGGAGCGCGAAGCCCCGCATGCTGGAGCCCGAGCAGTACGCCACGGTGGCAATGCCTCTCCCGAGCTCCGACACCGCCAGAGCCAGAAGGCCCTGCGCCACCCGCAGTTCCACGACCACGGCGCTGTCCAGCACGCGCGGCGGCCCCAGCCCGTCGCCCACGAACTGGTAGACCGAGCACAGGCAGCTGAGGAGCTCCCTCCTGACACTGAAGTGGCCCACCAGGTGGCCGATGATCCGGCGCAGCTGGGCGGGCGAGATATGCCGGACCTGGCAAACCTCATCCAGGGCCAGCCACGGCCGCCACATCCGCCGCGGCCTCGAAATGAGGCCGCGCCGTCGCCCTCGGATCTGTCGGCCGACGAGCTCGTAGTCCGAGGCGGGCCCCGGCTCCTCGTGGAGCAGGAAGCCGATGCAGGTGAGCTCCTCCCGCAGCGCGTGGAACAGCCTGAGCGCGGCCTCGGGGCTGCCGCCGATGATGTTGCCCTTGTCGACGTAGGGGGCGACGATGGCGGCGGCCCTGCCGAAGGGCGGCGGAGGCCCCCAGTCCTCGAGCGTGACTTCGGGGAGCCCCAGCCGCCGCAACGCTCGGCGCGAAGCCGCCTCCAGGCTGCCGCGGCAGAAGAACATCGCCCAGCTCCAACCCATCGGCAAGCCTCCAAAACACGCCCAGAGAAGCTCGTGACCCTCCACGGGGACGACGGAGAGGTGGTCGCCATCGTAAACCTCAGTGACACCGATGTCCGAGGCCGCCGACGACACGCCCAGCGAGAACCACGATGCGACACTGTCCGCGCGGAACTGGTAGAACCCATCCTTGAGGTCCATGCCCGCACACGAGAGGTCGAGCACGTCGATGCCCTCGGCGCCTCGACCGCACGCAGGTAGGTCCCCCGCAGAGAGTCGGCACCACTCCTCCGACAGCATGAGGTTGGAGAGCGCACCCGGCGTGGCGAGGTCGGACTTAGGCGGCCTCCTGTGGGGCTGGTTGGTCGGCCTGCAGTCAAGGACGAGCCTGATCGCGTCGCCCTTCTTCTTGACGAAGAATGCTCCGACCCGGCAGCGCTCCCGTCTCCTCCGCGAGATGAGGCCCACCCGGTCGAGACGGCGCACAAAGTCCCGGCGGGCCTCCAGCGAGCCGCCGAGCTTGGGATCCCAGCGCGGCACCACGGGGTCCACGATCGAGGCCAGCTCCTCCGGCGGCAGCACGATGAAGGAGTCGGGGCCCTCGAGGCACGGACGGCACTCGCCACCCACAAGGTCCAGGGCATCGACGGGGGCACCAGACCGATGCAGGACCGACAACTTGTCCGGGTCGCACGCCGCCACAGAACTATCGTCATCCACGTCGTAGATGGACTTGCACTTGATGATCTCCTGAAGAGCCCCCTCCGGAAACTCGGCGCCGAGGTCCAGTGGGGGGAGGAAGTGCGCCACTGCGCGTCCGATGTTGTTGAGCACCCCGCCCTGCGCGGCGCCGATGCTCTGGGAAGACACGCGGCTGGGCCACTCGAGCAAAGCGCCCGCCCCGGCTGACAGCTAGCCAAGGCGTTGAGAGACGCCACGGCCCCCTCCACCAGCTCTTCAGATCGCGCCTGCCAGCGCCGCCGCCGAGCCAAGTGGCGAGCACCACCTCCACTTTCCGCCGCCTCGGGAAGGCGCAAGGGTAGCAGAAAAAGGCCAGCACCGACCACCATGATGACAGGGTCGGCTCCAGCCCCGAGCGACTGAAGCAGGCTGCCTCAATCACTTGTCCTTCTCTTTGCCGCCTTTGGGGCCCTTGTCCGAGGGTCCCTTGCGTTTGTCCTCCTCCTCCTCCTGGTGCAACCTCTGCTGCTTCATGGTGAAGGCCCGCGACTTTTGCTCGCCCGCCGTCCACCTCGCGAACTTCCCCGCGAGGGCGCCGCCAGTGGAGTCCAGCGAGCTCATCACCATGAGCGAGGTGCCCTGAAACATGGGGTTCTTGGGCGAGCGGGCCACCGCTTGGTGGATCTGAAGAAGCAGACTGCACACATCTCCGCGCCCGCCAGCTGGAAGGCGTTCAACTGGTCGAAAGCGACCAGGTGGTGCAGCACCGACAGCAAGTCCCTGTGCTCGAGCGCCACCAGGTGGTCGGGGTTGACGCCCGAGGATCTGATCCAATGCTCTTGGAAGCCCGCCAGGTCCTCGTTCGCGGCGCGGGCCGCGACCAGCACCTCCTCGATCGCCTGCGGGCCCTCGAACGGCCAGTCGGCTGGCGGGGTCTCCTCCAAGAAGGTCATCTCTGCCAGCGCATCCTTGAGCATGGCGAAGCGGGCCCTGCCCAGGTCCCGCTGGATGGGGAGCCGCTGGTCTTCTCCTCGCGCCACTCCTCCACATCCTGGTTGCCGACCCGCTCCGCATAGGTCCAGAACCGATCCCCGTTCTCCCCGACCTCGGCCAGGCCCGCGCTGCCCTTGATCAACATCCTGAGCACATTCCGCGTGCTCTCCACCGGCACGATCTCCCCGAACTTGTCGTACGCCGTGTCCGCGAACCTCCATTCCATCGTCAGCGTGGCGGCCGCCGCTGCAGGACCTGCCACTCCAGCTCCCGCTGGGCGGAGCACGTCCGAGAGGGCCGCCGCTTCCTGGCGGGCCGTCTGCAGCGCCGCCTCGTCGAACTGGTCGACCGTGTAGATGTCGCGGGCCACGCGCCCAGGGTATGGAGCAGCACGGGCAATCGGCACCACGAGGTGCCGCGAGAGGTCGAGGACGAGCACCTCCAGGTCCGGCGAGAACGCGATCCATCGGAGGTCGTCCAGACGATGCGCCAGGACGCGAAGGTGCCATCTGAAATGATCGTCGTCGTCGAAGTTGGTGGCCACCATCGTCTCGTGGATATCCGGTGCTCTCGCCATGACGCCAGCCTAGCACTGTGAAGCCCGTCAGCGAGTCCTCTGCGAACGCCAGGGCTGTGGCTCGCCCGCCGCTGGGTTCCAGGCAGCCGAGCCCGAGGACACAGACAGCGACGAGGAAGTGGCCCGCTCGGGCAGGCCGAGCGCGGGGGCGGCTGGTCCGCCCGCCTCCAGCGCCGGCTGCGGCGCTCTCGGGCGGCGCCCTGGCCGCCGGCTGCCGGACGTCAGCCGGCCTGCGAGGAACGCGAGCGGCAGCAGGCCCCAGCCGCTGAAGGCCAGCGAGAGCGACCAGCCCCCGCCACAGGGCGCCGAGGCCGCTGGGCACTCCGCCGCCGCAAGCCCAGCCCGCGTGCACTGGCACACTACCGCCGGGCACTCCGCCGCGCGCTCTGGGCACGACGCACAGCCCAGCGAGCACGCCGGGCACTCGAGCCGTGGCTCGCAGACGCAGAGCGACGCCGCCGGCGCCGGGGCTCGCGCGAGCCACCCGCCCGCCGATGCCGCCAGACGTTCCCGTGCGAAGGCGGAGAAATGAGGGCTACCCCAGGCCATGCAGGCCTGCGGCTCGAGAAAAGAACTGCAGAAGCACTAAGATGAGGGATATACCGTTCAGGCACAAATCATATACATGTACACGTACATATACACATACATGCTAGAAACATCGCGCGCACTTCGCGCGCGCTCAAGATCTAGGTCGGCTTGATGGGTTTACCCATGGAATATCATGTGTCGTCTCTTTCTTGGAGGCCCTGCGCATGCCAAGGAATCGCATAGAACTGCGGAAGCGCAAAAACCATTAATTCCCGTTAGGTAGTCAACGATTTGGGGCCCTCAGCAGCTTCGTAGGTTCTACTCTGGGAGCTGAGGGGGGCCTTACGCGCGGTCTGTCCTGCAAAAGTAGACAGGTGGGTGGGCTTTGGCTGAAAAGCTTTCTGGATACAGGCCACGGTCTGTTGGGATGCCTCTCGTGGTCTTCGGGGAAATCAAACAGGGGGTGAGTTCGTTTACACATGTAAGTATAAAGAATACTGTTTTTCATTTTCTACTCATGGGAGCATGGAATATCGACTTATACGGTGGCTTCAGGGGCAGCCAAGAGGACCCGAATACGATCCAACAGAGTGCCAAGGCAGCGTCAGAGAGTTCAACAGTATTCCCAAAAAAAGCGGTGCATGCGACCCCGAAGCATTGATGGGGCTCGAGGAAGAGGATAGGGAGTAGGAGTCCCAACTTGAAAAAAATGGAATATATGGAATTTTTTTTTTCAAGATCCTCGGTCTTTGAAGTCTCTTGGAGGCGTTCTGGGAGCCTGGAGAGCCGACCGAAGGCTATCTTGGGTTGCTTAGGAGGGTCCTGGCCTTCTCTTCTACGTTCTGGAAGCTTCTTGGGGTCGCCTTGGGCTGTCCTTGGGCGTTTGGGGGGTCCCCTTGGGCTGGAACGCGCGGTACCAGGAGCTTTGCGCCGATGTCACGGAGAGGCGTGGGACGCCCAGAAGGGGGGAGGCGTATTTGTTGAGGTGTTGGGCCCTCGTTTCGGAGAGACGGTCCCCGCGTTCCTTCCTCCTCATCCCCCTCCTCCCGCACCCCTCCTCCCAACATCAGCATCATCATGATCGTCGTCATCATCATCATCATCATCATCATCATCATCATCATCATCAGCATCAGCATCAGCATCAGCATCATCATCATCATCAGCAGCAGCATCATCATCACCATCATCATCACCATCATCATCAGCATCATCATCATCATCATTAGCATCATCATCATCATCATCATCATCATCATCATCATCATCATCATCAGCATCATCACCATCAGCAGCAGCAGAAGCATCATCATCACCACAATCACACCCAGTACAGCGTTTCGTGGCCCCATAGGAAGCTCCACCCAAGGCCCCAGTGGGGGTGGCCACATGCGTCCGCCACACCCAGTACAGAGCTTCGTGGCCCCCTAGGGAGCTCCACCCAAGGCCCCAATAGGGGTGGCCACATGCGTCCGCCACACCCAGTACAGCGCTTCGTGGCCCCATAGGGAGCTCCACCCCAGGCCCCAATGGGGGTGGCCACATGCGTCCGCCACACCCAGTACAGCGCTTCGTGGCCCAATAGGGAGCTCCACCCCAGGCCCCAATGGGGGTGGCCACATGCGTCCGCCACACCCAGTACAGCGCTTCGTGGCCCCCTAGGGAGCTCCACCTGCGGCCCCAGTAGGGATGGCCACATGCGTCCGCCACACCCAGTACAGCGCTTCGTGGCCCCCTAGGGAGCTCCACCTAAGGCCCCAGTGGGGGTGGCCACATGCGTCCGCCACACCCAGTACAGCGTTTCGTGGCCCCCCATAAGGAACTCCACCCAAGGCCCCAGTGGGGGTGGCCACATGCGTCCGCCACACCCAGTACAGCGCTTCGTGGCCCCCTAGGGAGATCCAGCTAAGGCCCTGTGGGGGTGGCCACATGCGTCCGCCACACCGAGTACAGCGTTCGGTGGCCCCATAGGAAGCTCCACCCAAGGCCCCAGCGGGGGTGGCCACATGCGCCCGCCACACCCAGTACAGCGTTTCGTGGCCCCATAAGGAGCTCCACCCATGGCCCCAGTCGTGGTGGCTACATGCGTCCGCCACACCCAGTACAGCGCTTCGTGGCCCCATAGGGAGTTCCACCTAGGCCCCAGTGGGGGTGGCCACATGCGCCCGCCACACACAGTACAGCGTTTCGTTGCCCCTTGGGGAGCTCCACGTAAAGCCCCAGTAGCCCCATATGGAGCTCCACGTAAGCGCCCCCCCTCCCGTGGCCCCATATGGAGCTCCACCGAAGGTCCCAACGGCACTGCCCGCATGCGTCGGCCACCACCCAGTGCAGCGCTTCGTGGCCCCATAAGGAGCTCCACAGAAAGACCCCAGGGGCACCGCCCGCATACGCTTCCCCCCAAACAGTACAGCGCTTCGTGGCTTCATCGGGGGCTCCAGCGAGGGGCACCGCCCGCATGCGTCTCCCAACCCATTACGGCACTTCCCTCACGCGCTTCGTGGCCCCATAGGGAGCTCCACCGAAAGCGGCACCCACAACGCGTTACCCACAACTGCATATGGTTGGGTCTTTCGCCAGGATATTTTTTCCCAAGTTCCTCGGTCTCCGAGCGTTGGAAGCGGGAAAACGTGAGAAGGTGAAAAGCGTCAAGAAATATTGGAAATCAAAGATTTTACCTTTTCGGGCTCTCACGGGACGGCTCTCGAAGCTCTCTCGGGCTGTTTTTGGGGCCTCGTCGAGGTCTTCTTGTTAGGCCTCTCAAGGGTCTGGGGTGTGTTGGGGGCCTCTGAAAGGTTCCAGAGTCCTCTCGGGGGTCTCTGAAGGCCTCCTGCTCCCACTCGTGGGCTCATCTTGGGCATGTTCTGGGGTGGTCTGGAGCTGTCCTCGGCGCCTCTTCAGCAATCTTGGGGCCTTCTTGGCCCGTCTTGGACCGTGTTGGGAGCCTCTTGGGCGGTGTTGGGGCCGTCTTGGGGGCCTCTTCGGCCGTGTTGGAGCGTTGGAAGCACGAAATGGCTAGAAAACCGAAAACCTTGAAAAAACAAAACGACAAATAAGGATTTTAGGTCCTCCGGGCGTTTTCGGGAGGCCTCTCGGAGCTCTCTGGAGGTCTCTTGGAGGCCTCCTGGGAGCCTGGAGAACCGCCCGAAAGCTATCTTGGGTTGTTTGTGGGAGATTTTTGGGACCATCTTGGGCCGTCATTGGACGTTTTGGGGCTTCCCAGAATAGCGGGAATCGCGG